CTATGTAACAGTATAGGGTAGACTGGTTCAACGCTTGCGGGTCGGCGTATGTTCACCACGGAGTCCGGAGATTATTTCATGAAAACGATTTGTCAAGGGTTTGGATTGGTATATATTATGTTGTTTGGAGCGACCAGTATGAATTGGGTCGCACATTACCCATTGTGAACTTCCACTCCTACAATACCGCTTCATTCCAGGCAGTCGCGTCCATGCAGGTGGTTATTCACATTCGAAACAGAGGTACCTGACTGGGCCTATAGCTGAGCTAGTCCGACTAGGCTAGCGTGTCGTAAGCGAGGTGAATCTTGGCAGAGCCCTAGAGTCACTGGTGCCCGAAATCTCCTTCCTGACAACGACGCGCAGTGGCCGGATCCTTCGAGTCTCACTGCATATCAGAACTTCCGCTTTGGAAAAGCTATCAACAACGCGCGTACAGGCTTAGCTTCACCAGTCGATCGATGCGACATGAGCAATGCCGCATGCCAAGGATACAAATGCATGATGACACGCAGCTTGCATTGTATATGCGTTTATCTTAAGTGCGGGGACATAACTGCTCGGAACTATCAAGCAGAGGATGCGCGGACGGACGATTTGGAGAGGAGGGTGCTGGTATGCTCCGTCATGCTAGCCGGTACGCCTGGATACTTCAGTTATGAGGCGCCACGATGCGCATGTTGACTGTGCGGATCATGATCCAGATGCTCATGCACGATAAAGACACGGTTGAGTAAGAGACTGCAACCTTGCGATGGTCATGCATTCCAAGGTTCTCAGGCAGCGAGGTGGACGGCTGATAGCCGGGCTTCCAAGGACCATTGCCTTTCGGTCTGTCTAGCGAATCAAAGACATCGGCCCGCATCGTGTTACGTTCAGCCTACAGAGTGCGGTGACATAGTGCGTAGTGCCACCTAGAGCGTCGTAATTGTACTGATCATAGCGGTGATATCGACGTCAATTTCGATCAAACCTTGAAAGCTAGTAACCCTCGATGTGCCTCCCACCACGGCATCGCTAACTTCCTTTTCCGAGCCCGAAGACCCCGAGATATCAAAGATGTCAGCCTTAAGTATACCAGGGGTTATATGTACGTGGCTGCAGTCGAATGAAATAACGGGCGGCTGCGGGCACGGTCGCATCCGTGGGGCTGGATCGGGAGCGATGGCTGTGGCGATGCGTCGCATGTTGGAGTACATACAGGCCGCACTGATGCAGTGCATCATCACTGCCTTCTTGCTGGGCACATCCCAGCTTACTAAAGGCACTTTGCAGATTCCAGAGGTCAGACCCGTCCTGGCTGTCCAGCGCCCTATGCGCTTCATGCCGTTGCTCTATCGGTATGTTTGCCCCACTTGCCCCACCTGGGCACCTTCCGGTCGGCTGCGTCCCCAATCTTATCGCACCTATTCCGCATGTCTTGTGTTACACTACCTGTCATTCTTCTGGCATGCAGAGAGTTGACGAGCAGATAACCAGTCCCGATATTATGTCTGGTGAGGGCCTGTCATGTGGAGATGAGCATTTGCTTGGACAAGATTAGACAATGAGATTTCTAACATGTTTGCCTATTCACCGATCAGCCTCCTTTCGCCAGCCAATCACTGCATTGTCCAGCCGCACTTTCCATCGACTTCTCGGTCTGCTGTTATTGCTTCTGCAAGCCTCAAATGATGCACTGATACATTGGTGAAAGGCCCATACCGTCGGAGTTCTGGCAGCGAATCTCCAGCGCCACTTCGAGCAAGGTTGTCAGGCTGTGTGTGGGTAACCGACGAGGCGCCCAATAAGATAGCATTGGACTTCGAGATGTGTCTGGGACACAGGTTGTCGTCCAAGTGATCGTGATCTCCTCCGATAACAAATTGCGATGCCATTGGTGGCAAACATACGGGGCCAACGTGCTGAGCACATGCGACTCACTGTGCGACGGTGAGTCAGACCGCAGGCAAGAACGAAGAGTAAGCGCGTAGCCGTGTGGAAGCCTGCGTGGTCGCCACCGTGTCTGTATGCCTCCTATTTCATTCGCTGCGAGTTACGTTGATCCATAGTATCATTCGTAGATCGCAAGGGAGTGCCTGGCTCTGGGAAGGTTGCGGATCTCTGAGTGAGGCAGAAATGTTCCGGGGCCTGGTGCAGCCGGGGCCCGGGGCATAAGTTCTGGCGAGTGCGAGCCGATAGATGGAGTCACTCGCCATTGCGGGATATCGTACGGGGCCGAATACCTTCTGCGTAAGCCTCTATCTGGAAGTGGCAGTTTTTCTGGACGTGGAGCTGATATCCATACCATATCAGGAGATGCTGGATGCCTGCTAGTCTCCTGTTGATCTGTCTCTCCATCATCGTCTGATACGTGGAGCTCAGGCTCTGTGGGCTTCCCCAGCCATGTCTCAACGCGCTCCTGGGATGCAAAATAATCCCCAACCATATTTGGCGGTGCCTGGATTGAGCTAGAACTCGGGGTGGTGCTTTCCAGCAAAGTACAGTACATCGACTTGGCGAACTCTGGTTCTTGAAATTCGATTCCTTGCTCTGTACACTGTTGTTTGAGTAAATGTACATCTTCATGTGCCCTCGTATGCTCTTCTTGAATTCTAGATCTTTGCACCCGTGCTCGGTCGAAGAATACAGCGTCGGTGGAAAGCTGACTGGTCCCCGCAGCGCGGATGAGCTCTCTTTCTTCTGCACGCTCACGAAGGTCGAACTCGAAGTTGCTCAATCTCTCGTGATATATGCGTATATCGCCCATCCGCATATAAAGCCTTTCGAGTAGGCCCATGTCATGATCATGGTCGTTGTCTATCGGTAAAGCAGTGTGGAGAAAACTTGATGGTGATTGTACCGGTTGGTACGAGCCTCCCTGATCTGTTGACTGGGCGACATCGGAATAAATGGTCTCTTCCAGGCGGTCTAATTGATACTCTTGGCTGGACAGGGCATCTTCTAGCGCTGCGGTTTGCTCCCGCGAAGAGATCAGATCAGCTCTACAACGTTTGAGCTCTTCAGATGTCTTGATCAAGCGATCCCAGCTTCCAGTACTGTTCTTATAGATAGCATCCTCGCTGAGATAAGTCAGACACTGTGCCTGGAGTTTTTGTTCCACTTCCTCTTTATGCCGACACTGCAACCTCTCTTTCCTCAGGTTTGTTCGCATAACTAATATCGTACTTCGTAACGAAGATATGCGTGACCTATGGGACAACCATATCTTCATGAATTGTGCTTGTGCTATTGTACTGTGATCTACGAGAGACGATTGCGACATGTTGTTACAGGTGATATAGGTTATGACAGATGGACTCGCGCGTTGTTCGGTCGGGTATTCGTCCTGTCGTGTTTGAGTGGCGGCTGTATGATATGGCAAAGTGAACGGTCGAGGTGCGTCGGTCTGACGAAGCTGAATCTCTTCGCTACCACTGTTCATTTCAGCAGCTGCTGCGACTACATCGTGGGCTCTGGTATATGTAAGTGAGATGGCTCAAGCCGCTACCTAGGTACTCTCCGTGCGGTTAAATACTTGGGCTTGTTATTGAGGGTAGACGTCGAACATCTCGCAAGTCGTTAATGCTACAACTAGCAAGTTCTGTGATGTTGAAAGTATAGTCGAATGTGATGGAAATTGTGATATTGACGTCTTGTAGGGCGGGGGTTGTCCTGGTCGCGTGTGGCTCAAGGAAACTTTGGGGCGCGCATCATTTTAAAGCCAATCACGCTAAGGCTGCCCGGGAAATACGCATCCATGAATCTAATCTAAGCGCGCTCACCGGAAAAGCCACATGAACAAGAGCAGCCTGCAAGATGAGCTGTTCATCAATCTAACTTGCTCAGCGATATCACACTCAACGTGAAGGTTTTGGAGCCGCATCACATGCGGCATTGGATGCGCTATATACCGTAGGTAGGCCCGCATCATGGCGGGGCACGAACCGTCGCACCGTGCACACAATGCAGCGGTACGACCTGTATGATTACACTCGCCGACTTTATTACTATTATGATTATGGCACCAGCACATACATTTACGCCAACGGTCTGAGAGTCCCTGCAGTAACGCCTGCTACAGCGTACGTGGCCACCTAGCACTACTACCTCCTACCTCAGTATCTTTCAAGGGCCGAAGCTGACTTTGCTTCTTGTGACAGAAGCGTAGGCAGTAATCAGGCTCAAGCAGTTGCTCCCACTTCGCAAAGCGCAGCTGGACATGGTCATAACGCAGTCGACACAGGCAGTAGCGTGGATTTCGCGGATAACTTCTCACGGCTTTCTGTCAATCATATCAATACAGCACCCGATAACCTTGGTGAGAATACTCACTCTAAGCCACACGTTTATTCAAGAGCGGCTTGCGCTGATCAAAACACAGCTGTCGCCCCATACCCAATCAGCAACTATACGCTACCACAGTACGGGTACCACCAAAACATCGGGGTCAACGCTGCAGCACCCAATCCATATGCTACCAATGTACCAATATCTTCTCGGCCATCTGATGGCGAGTTGCTCGAGAACGTTGGCCGAGAAGTAGTTCTACATCCCGATGCATCAAGCACGCCGCCCGATTTTCCTCTATTGAGTCAAGGTCGGTGGCCGCGAAGGATTCTCAGGGGATCTGAGAGACATGGAACCAGCGAGAGACTTAAACCGAGTATGTCCGGTTCAATCGTGGTGAAGCAGTTCACTAACTGTGTGCCAGGCTTCCAGATTCAATACCCGGGCTACACCTTCTACAAACGTGGCGTTGTGTTCCGCGTGCTATGGCCTGAGCTAGCTGGCGATGTTAAGCAAGACATTACGATTGCAACGACCGGCGCATTTGGAGAGAAGACTTATTACAAAATCCGTTGGTTCGTCGTAATCCGAGAAGGGCACAATTGCTGTACCTGTTTGTTAGTTCCGGAGGCTTCGTTTTAGTTGTCATCAAGTCTAACAGTTGCAGGTCGATCCAAACATATGGCGGCAGAGGCGTCCCAGAAAATAAGCCGAACAACCATCATGCCATCATGTACACCGGAAAGGCACCCCCACGAGCCACGGCTTCAGAAATCGTTCCGACAGAGCCACCGATGGGTCAGCCTATCCGCGTGATAGGAAAAGAACCGTGGAATACCATGGACCCAAAGTCGCGTGTCAATTTCCTCAAACTCTATACCGTTGAGCACAATGTCAAGGTGGAGGACTTTGGTCATGTCGATCCCAACGACGAGTGGACACTGATGGCCCAATTCAAGTCGCATTGGGGAATCGAGGATGCGGAACCTCTGCCACCAGCTCGTCATACCAAGTTTTACGATGGTCATACCTTTAGGCCAGCTCCAACCCAAACACGACAAGATTCGTTTACTGAGTCGAGTCAAGCTCCAGGGTGGCAGGCTGGGTATGGACCGGACTCAACAACACCCACGCCTACAGTGCAAAACCCAGAACCATACCGCCAGTACCAAAGTCCGGGCACGAGCGCATACGCAAGCCCAGGCAATGCAACATACCAAGCATCCAACTATCCGTCTCAAGCTTACCCGAGCAGTGCAGCTTACCAAGTACCCGGAAACCAATTGCAACCCACGCCTACTTTCTCATATCCACACCCTACTAATATGGCCTACATGGCTTCTCAAAATCCGGCTTATGTTGCACCTAGTACCAGCCACTACGCCTCGCCTAATTCACAGAGGCCCACTGCGCAGTACGCTTATGTCCCAATGGGCAGCCAAACACAATACACACCGGCAACGAACAGTAATGCCGACTTATACGAAGACGACCGTCGAACACCTCGCGCTCGTAGGCCTTCAGATACTAGCTCTGGTAGAAGCAAACAACAGCATGAATCACAAAGGCGCAGATAGCAAATGTTTCCCTTTCAGATACGTAAAGCCTGGTCTTAGGCTGCGCCTTACTGGCGCATCATACTATAAGTGTCCGATGATCTAGCTCTTAACGATTTTGACCTCTTTCGAGATAACAGGTGTTTGCCTACATCAGCTCCATTCTCATAACTTCCCTCGAACTTTTGTACAATCTAGTTCTTTTGGCGAGATTTTCGCTCTGTTGCGCGAGCCAATTCACACCGTTGGGATCGCGAGACTAGACAAGGATCTCCTAATTTTAGCTCTAGTAATCTTCCATCTGCGATCTGTATCTCATGACCATGCCGCATCGGATAGGTTGCATAAGCTTTGGCTACGACGTAGCGCAATAGCGACGATGATTAGACCCAGAATGTCCAGACCAAGTCCAGTATCTAGACTTACGCACACGTTACAACGCATGTGAGAGTACTACATAGCGGGTATCGCGTCGAAGATGAAAGTCACAGTCTACCCATCATACAGCAATCCTGCTACTCAGAGTGCTAGGCTGTCAAAATCGACACTGTCGATCTGGACACATTTGTATAGCATATCCAATCATCTCGCATGCCATCGACGCAACCTTGCGAGGGCGCCCTGATCTACGGCGTGCTGATACCTCAACTGGAGCCGGAATGGGCACAGGGGGCGAGGTGTCACGGTCTTCTTCAGACAAGATCTGAGGCGAGGAGCTTCCGACGTATATTGTTGATTGACTCGCTTCGTTGACTTGTGGTTGACGTTGATGATGGCTTTGTGCGGCAAGAGGAGCCAAGTTTCGAGCAGGAGAAGGAGGTGTGGCGACGACGCCATTGGCCCCGCGTGCGGCAGCGAACCGTAAGTCCTGCCCGGAGGCTACATGGTGTGGAGCCACCGATATTTAACGGGCTTCATCGGTATCGTATGCGGTAACCCGACATAGCTTGCTGGGAGAGGTGATGGCTTCATGCTCTTCTTTCTCATCATCGGAGAGCTTATTCTTGAGCTGACGGAGCTCAATCTTCAATGCCATGACCTAATCTCGGAGGTGCTTGGCATCGGTATCGGCATTGTGCAGTCACATTATCGTTGCAGTCAAATCACTCCACCACTTCCCATTTCTTGTGTTGAATAGAATTGGATCAATCGCGAATACATATGAGCCAATCAGTAGAACCAGTTTTCAGAGCAAATCGACAGTGTCGATTTGTGCAGTTCCCATAGCTAAGCCTGATGTGGCCGAGATTTTGGGGTATCAATCCGGTATCGTGAAGCTTATATGAACGATACCTCAAAGGGCTTTCCAGAAGTCATGAATGACGTGACCTGCGACACGGCAAAAGATAGCAGTATTGCGCTAGACCTTCATCAACACAACACAACACATAGATTCATTCCAATGGGAAGCATCATGGTGAAGCGTCAACGCATACAGGCGATAGCGAGGAGGAGCAAATATCAAAGATGGTATTACTATGTATACCTGACCACATTGACTCTCAATACACGCCCTCACTTATCGTCACTACAGCCTTGTTCTCGGCCACCGTCACTGTCGAGGAGACGATAGGCAGGCTGAGGTGAGGCTTTGTGCCATCGTCGGCCTCGAGATCTGAGGAGCCTGGGAGTGCGCCGACGTTACGCAGTGGGTAGTCGTCGTCCTCGAAGGGGCTGGTACAGTTAGCACTGTAGAACACATGATGGGGTGCATGACATACTCTAAGCCGCCGGCTTTGGTGACATTGCCTTTGGTGAATTGTGAGTCCATGTCAGTATTGGAGTCCAAGGTTATGGAGCTTGCTCTGCGTCGGCGTGGGCCCATGGTTGTGTCTGCCTAGGTGGTGAGTGACGAGTTTGCGGATGGCCACCTCGTGAGGTTGCGTATGCAGCAGGCACCGTGCTAGCCTTGGCAGTGTGTCATCCGATTGTATTCGGCAGCAACGCACTCAATAGGCCATCATCAAGCAGGTACAGATTTGCTCAAGTGGAATGCATCATTGGATTCATATGTAGACTTCATAGACTTTAGGAGTCAAAAGCCCGCAGGCACGACGCCGCCGCTACCCGCAACGGTAAACGTGTCCGAGAGGGGACCCAGAGGTAGGGCTTTGTGCTACAAATACTCATCCCAGGCAGTACGCTCAACGACACGAGGAATCTTCTCTCCACTCAACTGGCAAGACTTGAGATCGCCGAGCACATCGTTGGCTCCGATGTCCCTCAGCCAGTCTGTCTCGGGGTACGTCAACTTGGAGTGACGCCAAGGGCACTCGGCACCATGGGGACAGGTGTAGAAGGTGCCGAACGTGACGTGGCAGAGACCGAGAGAGAATGAGGAGGTGGAGCTGTATTCGCTCGGGTCATACTCCTTCGCGTCCGCAGTGGCGTCGGAGAACTTGGGCCTCCAATGAGTGAGGTTCTTGACAGTTGGCGGGCAGCCCTCGTCCGAGTCGGGGTTGATGACCGACTGCCAGGTCCTATAGACCAGACTGTTCTTGTTGACGCCCTTGGCAGACAGGATGAGCTTGAAGAGGCCAATGCAAAACTCGGTGTCGGCGTCCTTAGGCAGGCCTGTAGGCGGTGGGGGCCCTCCGACCTGGACCTCTATCGCACAGGCGGCTTTGTGCTCTGCGGGCGCAGGAGGGTCGGTAAGAGGAAGTTGGAGTCGATGGGTGACATCGTTGACTGTCGTGTGTCAGTACTCATCACTGAAGCATCGCGGAATGGCACTTACTCAGCTTGTCGAACTCGCTGTTGACTATGGCGTCACTGACGACACTCTGAACGCGCTCACTGGCGGCTATGTGTTGTTAGTGCCATCTACAATGCTGGTGGATAGGATGTACTAACACTCGACAGAATCGCTGTGCGCCTTCAAAGGCTCTTTTGGATTGGCTTTGTGCCCTTGATGCTTTGCCTCTGACTTCGCTGCTCGATGTTAGCTATGATCATGGTTGAAAGGGGAATGGTAAATACCCTTGAGAGCGGCGAATTGCGCTTGCACGTACGCTTCAATCGTATCCATAGTGCAGTATAGGACAAGCGTGTTTTCGAGGTGGTGAGGATGGGAGGAAGCAGCAAGACAGAAAAGGTCGGTGGTTTGTTTGTGGGCGAGTCTGTGCGCTAGCTCATTGCTCCTGCCTGTTTTGAAATCACCAGTCACGTAGCTTCGCTGCTCTCGAAGGTTCCATGGAGCATACCAGGGCAACATGAATGTCTAGGTGAAGCCGTATTGATGTAAGAAACGCGTGAGTGTCAAGATACCTAGGTACCATGGCAGTGTGCGTGTCCCCGTGACCTTCCCTCAAGAGGAAGCGACACCCGTGGACCACACACTAATGCTTGGCCCAGAAACTCGAAGCCTCTTCCACTCTACAACATTGAGCGCGCATAATTGTGCCAGAAACCCTAAGTTTGAAGGTGAAGAGCGGAACAGAAATTGCATAAGTGAAAGCGCAAGTAGCAATATTTGAGGATTGCGCATAGCGCACCTATATGCTTTCAATCCGGGTGAAGACGAAACGACCTGGCCGACGAAAGGAAAGTTTTGTTGCTCTGACTAGATTAGGAGATCTCTGTCTTACCATTGTGCCCGCATCGCAGCATCAATACACTCTTTGGTAAGCACCGTCGAGCGCTTTGACAGATACGCAATGGCGTATAACTTACCATAATTGACATGACTCTCAAGTTCAAGACTTTATCTTTCCGTGGACTGCACTTGAATCAGGTATCTCGCGATCTCCCTATCTATGTGCCTTGTTGAATAGGAGGCCGCGATCAGTGCGATCTGCATGTGTATGAGCTGACATTAACTACACGTTGCAGTTCAAGACAAGACACTAAGCGTCTAGATGTTCGTTGCATCTTAGTAGACTTTACTGTGTAAGAAGGGGCGCACTCTTCTTTCTGAAGAGGCGTAATAGGTATGTGGTGTGTGTTTAGTGCGACGGATTTCTGCCCAGGAGGCCCACTTTCCCCGCGCCGGGCCTCATGTGACCGCGAACACCGTGGACCCTAGCGCGCGATTCTCGTGTACTCTGCATAACGCGTCACCAACACCCAGAAGACACGCGACTGATCAGAGCTGAAGCGCGAATTCCTCTACCGAAGCGCAAATCCGTCCACCGTCTCTAGGTCTTGGCGGACTGACTTGCCATGACGCTATGGTTCGTTCTCTGAAATCCGCCTGCATCGCCGCCCGCGAGTCGTCCACCGGTCTGGCGTAGCCGTTCCTATGCTACGAAGTTATCGCTCGCCAGGACGGTCCATGCTACGAACAAGATGGTACTGTCGCTCCCAGATGCCAGTTGGAGGTTCTCGAGATGCGCGCATTGCACACAGCCAGACTGAACATGGAGAAGGTGCCTCGATATGAGACCTCACCCAACTCTCGTTGCGGCACAATTTCAGGAATCCAATGACTACAAGGTCAGGCTGGTATGTTATGTCTGATCTCCTGTGATGGGTGTTCACTGACAAGATTGCAGATCGAGTTCCCTGTCGGCCCAAGTTGGGACTACACACGTCGAATCCTCTCCTATCGCATTCGCAAGCGCTATCCTACCGCGGCCGAGCTCGCGTACACATATACCACATGGGGATATGGAGATCAGCATGGCCAAACTTAGGACATGAATCTACATTGGGCGCACGTCATCGAAGGCTTCACCACGCCAACCTAAGGGAAAAACTGAACGCCCTGGAGCCTACGTTAACGTTGGGCCACCCACGTTGCAGGTCTTTGTCTTAATGTAGCCCGCAGGCCTGTTCAGGTTTTTTCCTTCATGAGGTGTCACCGCCGTGGATCTGTTCGGAACTGCGGACACGTATAGTTCCGGGCATAGTACGTTCGGCCTTGGGCATCAGACCCCACCTATATGCCTGCAAGAACGACGTGACTGCCATTGGCATTGAGAGCATTGTGGCACCCACTACGCTCTGCTTCCACGGTTACACACTCTCAGACGTGCCAAATGATACCAACAAGATTCTACCTGCGCAACCTGTCTCCTGCTTCCTCGCTAGACCCACGAAATGACCTCTCATTGCCATACAACCACACGTCTTAATCTCCTCGCTGGTTTCACCACTCAATCGCCTCGGGGCCTGGCTACACGTATATCAAAGATGGTCCCAACACCAGCAATTCCAGCAATCACATATGTCCAGGAGCTGTCTGCACACGAGTACTACATGTCATTGATTCTTCAAGCTGCCATGCGTTGTCTAATTTGGGACTGGATGGTACGCTTTATACACCTGCAGAGCTCCTTCGATACTTTGTACAAGACCAAAAAAGACTGTAAGACAAAGTACAGTAACAGCAATCCAGAACGTGTACCACTGAGGCCCGTTTCTTCTATCGTACCAAAACTGAGAGATGGATGTTGGCTTCGGTTGATCGAACCTTTCCTTCAACGTCATCAGTTCATCGCGCCAATATTCGAAGTTCATGGCACGGCGATCGGTGGACAACATCGCGTTTCGGTTGAGCAATGAAATATCCGGATACACGATGTCACCATGTTGCGATCGCTGAGATTTCAACCATCTTTGTGTGCTAGCATCTTGTCTCGGGAACAACAAGTCTAGTGTTCGCAGCGTCTCGTTGATGAGATTCTTTGGATACAGATCACTATGTCAATCAGCGGCTGACCGTAGCAATGCATTCGGAGACCTGCCTAGTCTGATGATGAAGGAAGGTTGCATGATGGAAAACGCAAAGCTTCCGGTCGTTGTCGATGAGCCGCAAGTGGTTGGCAAGATTGTTGGTCCATTGGATCTCAAGCCCAGTGAAGCGGTACAAGTTGAACGCTGTAAATTCTTCCTCAAACGTCAGGTTCCCTGCATCGGTGGAGCTGACGACAAAGTGATCTGCGAGAACGGTCTTCACATCGACTTGGTCATCGCTCCATGGTAGGAACGTAGGACTCCACGTCAGGTACTTCGACGGAGCTCCCACATCTACCATCAAGAACAGGCGTACTACTAACCGGATTGATCCTTCCGCCATACGGCTTTTGCTTTCTTCACTCCTTTGTTGAGTGACCAGTGATGCGAGAGAGCGCTTGATCATCTCCTTCGTATGGCCTGCTTCAAGTTGCCGAATGATCATTATGATGTCCTGATGCTCCCGAATAGTCACATGCTTGCCGCCATCTGGCTCAATAGCCTTTCTGCATTCTGCGGTGTAGTGTCGAAAATACGCATCCCAAGGGCAGCAGCCTCGATCGTCTCTGACTGCAAGTACCGGGACAGTGTTGATGGGCCAAAACGCTTCCAGGACATTACGCTTGTGTTGGGTCTGTATGGGATCTTCGTTGGCCCTTCCGGAAAGTACCATGCTTGGAGTCGTGGCTTCGAAGCGCACACTGTTGCTGAAGTCTGGAATGTTTTCCTTTCGAGTGGAATGCTTGGAGATACACATCAGTGACTATATCTTTCCAGGGCAGTGCTTGGCTGACAGCGTGGCGCAGCCGGGGGCTGAGCGCTTACCAGATTGGCATTGTTGGCTCACCGGAAGGTATTGAGTGCGGGGTCGAACAAAAGTTCAGCCCATCCGTAACTTCTACATGGTGACATCTCCTACTCGATGAGCGCCTCACCTTGAATTACGCATTGCGCGCACGATCCTACGTCTCAAAAGGATGATTCAGCACAACGCCGATACATATGTTAGTCACAGCCCAAATCGAAGACCTGTCTCGGGTTGCCGATCTGGTAACAATGAAGCAGTGTTCCCCTACGATCACCAATCCAGAATCGAGGGTTGTGGACGTAAGAGTACGTCTAGGTGGAAGATTCCTGCAGCGAAGTCGGGCCAATCACGAGGACTCAGTCGATATCGAACATCCAGTTCGTGTGGATCAAGAAGCGAACCCAAAGTGGAAAGATGGCCAGCTTTGCTGGGAGGCCAAGGGGAAATGTGCTCAAGTCTACGCAGAAGCAAAGACCAAGCTACTGGGAGAGTTAGACCAGTCTCAACGAGAGTCTTTCTGTGAGATTTGTGTGTCACTTTTTATGGTAGGAAAGACGCCTCGAAAAGCGAAACCTATGATCATAATTTCCAGCGAAGACAAACGATCACGGGAAGAAGCCAAGAGAGCCATCACCAGAAGCGGCGTTCTGGCGGATCTTGGCTTCGAGATCGGGGTGCTTAAGTACCTCCCATCAGGCCCCACTCATCCTGCCGCCGGATCACCTAGCGAAGCATGTTGGGATTCAGCATCAGAATCCGAAGGATGGGATTCAGATACTTGGAAAGAGAAGACGCCTGATCCTTCTTTCCACCCGAATACGCCTGTCTCTTCATCTGCCTACTATGATTCTAAACAGGGGCTACGAATCACCGGAATGCCCATATACGTCAAGACAGCAGATGGTCGATCAAGAATGGGAACAGCCAATGTCGTGCACAACGGATCCAAATACGGTTATATTACTGCAGCCCATATTTTCGGTCTTCTGCATCAAAGCCCTTCTTCGATCGATGATGACGAAGATGATCTCGGTATACCATTCGACAGCGACAGCGACAATGAGGATAGCGAAAATGATTTGAACGAAAAGACATCCTTCGCTGGGGCCCTGTTGTCAGACTCAGTAAGATCAAGACAATCTTACGTCTTGCACGGAGATGGTTTTGATCTCGGGGGAGCTACTGGGCCTAGTGATCTCTCTGAAGTCTCGATAGATCTGCCGCATGGTCTGGCCTTACTTGGTCATCTGGAGCCTGACCAGGAGCCCGACAAGTCTTTGGATTGCGCTATCATAACCATCGATGACTCTGGGCTTCAACGGACGCTCGACAGGACCAGAGTTCTCAGGGAAAACAATGTCTCTCATATGTCGAGTTCTACAGCCGAGCCTAAGCCTTCGCTGGCTACAGCATGGACCACTCATGGTCCTATTCATGGTACTCTCAACAAAGTACCTGTTCTCATGCGTCTACCAGGAAGCATGTCGTTTCAGTCTGTATATACCTTTGCGTACGAAGGTGAGATCAAGCGTGGCGATTGCGGATCACTAGTCCACGACACTACTACTAGAGCACTGTACGGCATGATCATCGCTGCTGCTGACAGGCAGCCCATTGCCTACATAGTAGCGGCGAAGGGATTGATAAAACATGTCGCGAACGCAGGATGGCATTTGCTGGATGCCAATGATGACTATATGAACTCTAGGGAGATCCATGACGAAGTCGCAAACTTGCAGACAGAACATATTTCTTCAGCAGTACCTTTACCAGTAGGCGATTCTCAGTCAATATCATCGCGACCGAAGAGATTCCAGACAGAAACACCCGAAGCGGTATCTCCTGCAACAAACGATCACCAAGAGGTCTCATTGCCAACAAGCATACTGAGAGCGGAAGACTCACCGGCCAGTTTCCCACAAGCTGTGTCTGCACGAGTAGACATTTCCGAGATGGAACCATGGGCATCCTATTCTGAGCAACCACAGTCTCAATGGAGCCACCGTTTCCAGAGATATCTTATCACCCTATGGAATGCACAGCATGGACGCTATTACTGGCAGCACTACGTTGAAGGTCCGTGACTGAACCCTGGCATATGTATAGGCTGACTGGAAACAGGACAAGGTTGGGTATTCTTTGACTGGGTGCCTTTAACGCATGGAATCCCGCAGGCTCAACCTCAACTTCAACCTCAATTTCAGATCCATGCGCGCAATGACTCTATACCGACAGTCACAGCATCTGGAGGTCGATTTGCTGGTAATGGGAGAGGAAAAACTATCTATGCGACCTACAATCCAACGAATCCGAATTCTAGCAGCCACTATGAGACAATTGATCCATGTTAGGCTCTAGTTCTCACCATATGTACAACATGCTGACTTGCTCTAGCTTTCTACGTCAGGGGCAGCGCTTTCTTCCAGGAAGGCAAGGTGCGTGATGACCATTCAAGATGATGCCAAGATTACTGACAGCCTTACAGGTCTTTTCAATCCTCTTCACTGAACCGGCGGGCGCCACCGCACTGAATGGGCTGAATCCCATGGCCGACTACAATACCAATCTGTCCCGGGTCAAATACAATGAATTCGTACGAACCCAAATACGGAGATTCATCGTCACGAGACGTAAACGCGAGTACTGCTTCGCTGTGTACGCAATATCCTGCGCATCTACATTGCAACATGGCTAATTGTTAACAGTCCAATTTTTACCTACTACGGCCAAGCCACTACTAAGAAGGGAGTGGTTGCTGACGAGCATGCTATTGCCTATTCGTTGGAAAAGGAACCACAACTCGTGCCGGGCGAGGCACCGCTTATGAAGGCACCCATCCCCATTGTGACGGAGGATAACAACCAGCCGCTAGTTCCAGCCTCTAGGATCTACTTTGCCATCCATCATCCGATTCAATACAATGTCAAGGTAAAGAACCTCGGCCACGTGCATCCCGATTATCTGCCTACCTTCCTTGGATATTGGAACCAGGAGAACAGCGACTCAAAACAAGACATTGATGTCACCGCGAACCAAGGTCGCGTGGACGAAGTACAAGGTCATGATACCCAGGATCCTGTAGACATGTATTAATTTACAACACATCAAAACATCGACAGCTTCCCTCTCTTATATCCCATTTGAGAAAGCCCTCTTCTATCGAAGTTTCTATTATGCCGATAAAGTTAGCATTGGTACGTGGTGTTGCCGTCTTTTTCTCGCACGTCTTTCGGTCGATCAAGAACATCTTTGCCCCCATTCATTGCTTCCATATGCTTCTGTCAAATCCTGCAATGCGATTTCATGGACAATCAACGACGCTCATCACCAGCATCTTTTATCCATAGTGTCGGGCCTTCTAACCGTGAATCAAAACCACCTTTCCAAGATCTGTAATGGCAAAGCCTACTCCGCACCTTCAACAACATACCCCTCATTCGCATGCCAAATCAAATCCATCGCATAAACAAACAGCCTATCCTTAAAGAGCGTACGTGATGCATGCAGCCCATCAATCTCATGTTGAACCGCCAGAGCCCGTCGCGCTTCCGGTAAGTTATAAACCCAGTCGGCGAACAACACATACTCCCTATGGTGGCTCCGCACAGTCCTTTGGCCATTCGTTAGATCTAACACGGGGTCATACCAAGCACAACGCTCGCCCCGTTCGTTGAACTGGAAATGCTGCCTACTGAACACATCCAGTTCATGCACATCTTGTTCGAGGCTACGCAGATTGTTCGAGAACGTCTCATAGTCCGAGACCAAAACGTTCATCGCAGGAACCAACGTGAACTCCAAGGTGAACTTGAGGTTATGAGCCTCGGTCGATGATGGTATAAGCTGTGCCTTTGCGCGGAGCGCGGTGAGACTCTTAACCAAAGCCATGAGAGGACCAAAGATTTCTTCGTAGCTTTGAACAACGAAGGCGTTGTTGAGGGCTGTGTAACGGCTTACATCCAGATCCTCATTGAGTTCCACGGCGATGCGGGCGGCGCGTTGGGTTTTGTGGAAGGTGACGCCGGCTTCTCGATAGCGATCTTCCAATGAGTTGCAAAGATTGAGAAGACTATCAGCTCGTTTAACGATCTCTTGGATACCGGTGCGGGCTTTCTTGGCCTCCTCGTCGGCTTGCTCTGGAGGTACGGGTTCGCAGTTTAGACACATGTTGGCGATACGACAGATACGTTGGGTTGGTACGCCCTGGTTAGCTTCGGTTGCAGTGGCTGGGGGGAATCATAGGATGAAATTACACCTTGTGATATGGAGATCTACAGCAGTGAACGCTGTGAAACTTCACCCCAGAGTATACATGTAGTCTGCACAGCGTGTTAAACTTCGTTCACCCACCGTCTCACCAACCCTCGACTTCAGTAACCGCCAACATAGTCCAGTACGCGTCTTTCGCAATGTCCTCGTCTTCCACCACGCCATCAACAAAAGCTTCCGTATACGCAGACTTCGACTTCACCACCCCATGCTCAATTTCCAGAAAGGTCTGTACCCACATCCGAAACATGTTACCCTCGCGACTGTGCTTAGCGGCCAGCGCCTCAGTTCCATCAAGATCGGAGCGTTCGGCGAGCTTCGCTACTTGCTCCTCCACCCATACCAGTCCAGCCTCCAGATTCCGGAGAGGTTTCGCCAGTTGCGACAGCGTGAGTTCACATTCAGCTTCCAGCTCGCGAAGGAGATCGACGTTCTCCGGAGCAGTGCCTCTTGATATTACCCATTTCTGCAATACCGCATAGGCAGCGTCGAAGATTTCGTCCCATGGGTGAAAGAACGGCTCTTCAGAGCGCGGGCGGCCGATTTCGAACATTTGGCTGAGCCGTGAACACACACTCTGCTCCACGGCTTTCGAGCTACAAGTAGCGATTGAGCGTCGGAGCGCATACGGAACCTTGTGGTAGGTGATTCCAGCGACTCGAAACCGCCTTTCGTATTTGTCCAGTCTGGCGAGCCATGAGAGGGCCCTGGGCTTTGCCCAATCAAGCCAATCTTCGTATACCGCCGCAGGAGCTAGAAGCGCTGTATTTGCGCTGTCTAGTTGCCAGTCGTACGGTAGGTTGTTGATCCACGTGTCGATTCGCTTCTTCTGGGATCGTGACAAAAGCTGGCCATACGTTTGTTTTGATGAGATAGCCATGTATCTGATCGTATCTCGGGCAGGGCGGTCGTATTACGACTCCGGATACTTTGGTCTTCGGGGTAATGCTTGCGCAATCGGGTGATCGTGTCAGTTTCGAGTGATCGGGCAAGTTGGAGGACGGGTGTAGATCGCGGTCGGGCGGTGGGTTTAGGTGTGCACCAGTATCCGACAGTCGCCTGTTGTTGTGATGGAAACGCACATGGCCGTTTGCACGTTGTGGCGTGTGCGCCAGTTACACTCATAGTGAATGCAGCTTTGGTCATCGCAACGTTTGTGGAAGCGCGGTTTACTGCTTAAGCCTAAAAGGTCTACCGACGAAAAGCTCGCGCTGCTGCGTCAATTCCAATACCGAGGTTCGACTTGAAGTATACAAATGCGTTTTGCTGCATACATTGTTCATATGGAGTACAATGTATACTTCAGGGTGTGGTGTAACCGATTGCGCGAGTTAAGTAAAACCCGCTTCTCCTTAGGGTCAGCGCTGTTGGAACATCGCAAATACTTTGCATACCAAGCAGTCCATAATGGAAATACCATCTACTTCAAAGCAACTCCATGATATGAGAACGTCAAAACCCGAGCTCTGCGCCAACGTTGCGCAGCTTCGATAGGATGGAGAACGAGCGCTCCATGATTTCGATGACGTCACGCGTTCGCGAGCCGCGTCCTCACGTGGCAATTCACCTAGCTAAGATGAGCTTTGTTCTGATTGCTAGTCGGTTTCAATATTCGGCGAAGATGAGGTGGCATTGTCGCGTCGCGTGTGGGTGAAAGAGGCTGGATGGTTCTCCCCTGAGATGGCTAGACTAATGACGTCATCGATGCGATTCATGCACACATGTGACAGGCAAGGCAGACCCAGAGCCCTCACACTTGACATGCGCACTACCAGCCCACCGCACTCACGATATTGTTTTAGCTTGGACTAGAGCAACGATGCAAACTTCATTAATCATCAAATATACACCAAAAGCTAACTACTTAGGTATGTACCCGATCTCTCTTGGACCCACCCATTCAAAATGTATGCAAAACATATACAATAAGCTCAAGAAATATGTACTCATCACATCGTAAACATACCATCAACCTCCTAATTTGCATCAGCAGTAGCTACCTACTGCCCACCAACAGCGATAGTGAACAACTTCGGGCTACCAGCGAAGATCGTGCCTGCCACATCCTGACCACCATCCGGAACAACATCGTCGTATGGAAAAGCGTACCCACGTCCATCTTTCTGCATCTGATGAACGATGCGCGAGTAGTGGTTGGTGGTCGGGTCCTTGTAGTACTGGCTCGGGTTGCTGCCGTTGGGGAACTGGTTGCCAGGCGTGTTGAGTAAGATGCTTCGGTTGAAGGCCGCGGCAAGACGGGGGATGACTGCGTTGCGCGCTTGGTTCGACCCAGTTGCGAATGGTCCAGTGCTGCAAGTGAAGATATCCCTGGCCGACGGAGCAGCAAACTTTCCTGCCTCGCCTAGTTCGAGCTCGTTGCCTTGGACACGTCCCTTAAGGTTGCCGGCTGCGGCCTGGGTGTTGATGGTCATGTCCTCATTGCGGTACTTGTTCCATACAGCCTGGATGTAGCCGTTCCAGTAGTCGCCCCACGCATTCTCGTTGCCGACAAGCAGGTTGTTCGGGCTCAGTACTCGCAATGGCTGTCCGTTGGCCTCGTAGATCAGCTTATCCCAGGGCCGACCGTCACGCTGGGCTTGCGCGCGCAACTCTTCCATGATTCTCCGGAAGCCATCGGCGCCCATGCCAGGTACTGTCTGGGTCTTGCCATCGTTGCTGGTCAAGCTGAGCGCAACGGGGATGCTGACGAAGTCGACATAGCTAATGTTGGCGAACAACTGCGCGTCGTTGTAGGTGAACTCGCAGAAGGTCCAGTTAATGTTGAAGTTGGGGTCGCTGGAGTTGGTTACACTGGGCTCGACGACGGCAGGGCCCGGATTGAGAAGGAATGTGAGCTTTGCGCCAATGCTGAACCAGATACGACCGCCAGCGATCTTCGGGATCCTGACGTTGACGGTGTTACCGGGACGGCCAAGTGGGATGGCGACATCGGCTTGAAGTGGCTGTTGGATGTCCTTAGGGGCTACTGGATAGTAGATGGACTGGCCGTCTGCTTTCACAAAGAGAGGGGTGTTGTTTCGCTCGAGAGCAAGGCCGGTGATGTAGCAGTATACATTGTCGGAGTTGGACTTATTCTGCAGGGCCAACTGAAGAGTGCCCGGTGCTGCCTTAGCAAGTACTTGCTGCTGTTCGTTGTTGGCTTGTGGAGCTGCTGCGCGCTTCTCATTGTCGGCGTCAGCGGGAGTGGGAGCGGGTGGTGCCGGTGCCGGATTATCCTCCTGCTTGCCCCGGTTTTGCCAGCTCTGGCGGCGCTTGTTGACGAAGCTCTTGAACGACTTCATGATAACGTGGAGGATAAATTCCGGGTATAGTGACAAAGAAACGCGACGGTAGAGTTAGGGATAATGCGAGTTGCAGAAAAAAGGTAAGGAAAGCAGCGAATATCAACAATGTTGTAATTGCGCAAACCGCGAGTACGTCACACAAGATATATCCTCGTCCAGTTATAGTCAATGCACTGAACGCGCCAATGTCCTAGATTTCAAGGCGTGAATGCAGGGTCCAGCTGATGTCACACATGCGACGAGATTCCAGGGCGATCAAGGCACGTGCAAACCTGTTGCGATCGCCGACTCGCGCGCGGGCCTAACGTGAACAATTTCGCGTTAGCAACCAATCACATTTCCACAAGCGACACCACCTTGTCGCGGCCCGATGGAGGAGAATCCCATCTTCAAACCACGCGTGGCGCGCTCGTGGCATCTGAATCTGACACTTAAAACGCGGGGTGCAGTGTGCGTGGTATCTTGGGACTGGTATTGGACGGCGCCCGGTGGGCGGGTTAGTGTCGTAAAGGAAGGTATTAATGAGCGGTAAGCGGAAGTACGCGATGCTTTGCGACAGTGTACATTGGAAGAGGCCCGTTTTGCCTACTTTCTGTCTGTTCCAACGCCTATCAAACACCGGAATTGTCTGGGGTAATCACCGTATGCCACGCCAATATGCTGGAAACGCGTACAAACTGTATACCCCTAAAGTAAACGGCTATCGTACAGTTCGATGTAAGATGCTTTGTACAAGAGTGAGATCGGCAGTCTGATTCACATGCTAGGGCGAAAGGCCTCGAGGCATGCCCACGAGCTCGCAGACGAGTGATCTGTAATGCGAACAGCGCAACGGCGCGATGCAACGTGTTGCAGTGCGTCAAGTTGTCGTGAACAAAGTCGCGCATGACTGCCCGTGGCGACTATTCGACGTCCTGATACGGGGATCAGAACGGTGCTCCATTTCCAAAAGACATGCCAGTATAGTTGTTATAGCTGTCCTCCCCCCAGATACCTCCCGCCATGTCGAAGAATTGGCTCATGTCGAAGTCGGCACCCCTCATGAGCGCGAAGGGGTCGTTGCTAACCTCGGTCACGGGGACGTGGTTCATGTCTATGCCGAAGTCTTCCATATAGTTGGTGCCTGCTAGCGTGTTATATTGATCTTCCGCGTGTCGTGTGGGACACGTTGTTGGTGCACTGGTGATGGGACATGAGCTTCCGCTCATACTCCGCTCAACCGAGTCGCTGGGCGTAGCTTCTGATGGCGTCTGGCTAGGCCTCTCCGGTCGGATTTTGCGAATGTACCAGTTCTTTGTCAGTTCATTAATCATCCGCATAGCGTGCCAGAAGTCGGGGTGGGGTCGCTTTGTTTTATCGAACGTCGATAGAGTCTGCATCCGATAGCAAAGTGATTCAAGACAGAGATCTAGACGCACTCTTTCTTGAGCTGCTTGTGTATCCCACCCGATGGCGGCATGGTCTTCACTGGGTATGCATAGCTTGGCGACCGTCATGATGACTGGTGGTAATCGCATCCATTCCGAGAACGATATAAGGTGATATTCGTGGGCTGGAAATGAAAGCAAAGTATCAAGAAAGCGCTTGCTGGCTTCAAGAGCGGAGAGTAGGCTGTTGATCTGTGACGAACGTACCGATGCCGGTAACTCCGAAGGAGACGGCCGAAGGGCTACGCTGTGCAGTTGCATCTTGGCGTATGAGAAGGAGAGCTCGAGTAGCCGTTGAGAGGGGACACCGTTGCACTCCCGTTTCCATGTATCGAGCTGTACATCTATGAATCGAACATGCATCAACGCTCGCCCATCAGACATTGGCAATTGCGAAGTATCAGCCGTGAACAACTCATCTTGTACTTGGTCATCAATCTGTCGCAGAGATATCAAAAGGCTAACGGTCTCATCGGTTTCGTACTCGCGATCTTGCTTCAAGCTTTGCGCCCACTCGGTCATGGTTGAAGTATGCTTGAGCAGATTCGGCTTCTGTAAACCTGCTGCAACCCTGGCTTGAGTCAGCGCACAATTCCAAAATCTGCGGACGAGAGAACATACATGGACGAAAGATAATAACAACCCAGGAATGCACGGCGTCTTTCGCGCAATTCTTCAGCTGGTGGTGGTGGAGCTGGAGGTCGCTTTGGCAACATTGGAGAGATCAAAGGCTGAAAGTCTTGGTGTAGGCCGATGTCTAGAGCCAAGCCTGTGACGAGATTATGCAAAAAGAAGATTTGCTGTGTTTTGTGGCTGAAGACAAAATGGTACCTGCGCAGATTAGTAGATTTTCGGCAATGGTGGGTACCATCCTACCATGAGAGATAGACCAGTACGCTTTGAACTAGGCCCAATGTCCTCCGGGGTTGCAAGATTGTTCTATTAGCGAGCTCTTGGCGAAATATCCCATCAAGTGCCATCTGGCGGGTGTGATGTTGCCATGATGCCACCAAGAATATCGCGAGTGAAAGCATGGGCCTGTGCTCATGGAGCTGTCTTGCAGTGACTTGGGACGGTAGCATAACAAAAGGGAACGTGGCCGACATGTTTCGATACTCTTTCAGTAGTGTGTCTGCTTCGCCGGATGTGAGCAATTGCTGGACAACCTCGTGCTCGATAGGAGCTTCGGGTCGTTTCGAAGCCCTAAAGATGCCCTCACGAGAGTTAGGAACATCTTCACGGTCGTCAAATCTGTGTATGGTGCGGATCTCCTCAAGATACTGTCGATCGACTTCAGCACTCTCTGATGCATCGTCGGTACTTTGGTCAGGCGGCACGGCGTTCGGTTCGTAGGATGGTGTCGGCATCCAGCTACCCGGCGCCGTGTTGACTATTCCCCGATTCCGCCAACGCTCCGCTGCGATTTCTCTAGGGATTGGCTGCGATGCATTTGCTGAGTCTGTTGTGACTTCACTGTCAGCCGCATGGACGAGCTTGGCTACGAGGCCATCGATCTTTTGCTCGACCTGCGCGATTCGGCTACGAGTATCATAAGTTGAGATCGAAGTAGACGGGCAGCGACTTACGAAGGTGCACGCAGCTTCCTCGCTCTACGCGGCGCTTCTGCCCAGACACATTCCTTGCCGGCTGAGAAACATCTGGCGGATGGTCAGCGTCTTTGTAAAGACATGAGGATGTGGAGCCACGGCTAAAGTATCACACTCTCATTGGCTGGCGTACCTCTGACATAGTCCAGATTGGGCGCTCGGCAAACATCGCGTCTTCAGGTTCCGGCAGCGTTGGCACGCCTGTGTTGTTCGCGGTACACCCGCTCTCGCGGACGGTTGCTCAGTTTCCTCCATCCGATGCGATGGCGCAGGATCGCTGCAGGTGCGAGAAGAGGGCAAGAGCCAGACCCAGCACGGGACGGAGGGACGATCAACATCCGTCCCGGGTCGCCTGAATTACTCATCGACGCTAAACTCCTGGGGTCAACTAGGTACCGCATGAAATGAACACTGCAAACATTCTCTGATCTAAAGCACGTTTCTATCGATTGAATGCTCAACAAAACATTGAGCCTTTACGCTTCAGTTTTATACAATTCCCTTCTGCTCTAACACTTCTTAGGCTTCGTCATTTGGAGCCTTGAGAACCATCAAACCACGAGGGACTTCGGCCATTGCGTACAACTTGCAATTGCCCTCAGTTAATCTAGAACTGCAGCTTTGACGCCAGCCTCCAACCGTACCAAAGCGTTGCACCAATCGTAATGAGGTTCAGATGTATGCTCATAGCATGAGCTCTAGAGAATGCCCGATTGAGAACCTTCATGTCATCGCTGATATCTCCATTGAGCTGCGCTTTGCCATCGCGAGTCGCTTGTCTTTCCATCAGCTATCAACGAATTCGCCAAGATCTGTGGATACTCACCTTGATGAACCCTTTCCACCATCAAGTCCTTTGTTCTCGGACCAAATACAACCAAATTGAACCCAGCAGTAACACCAGCGACTGCGAAAGCGATCCAGTCACTCTTCTCTGTAAGCACTGAAAGTGGCCCACGAGGCGGAAATGTCGCAGCGACGATGAGTAAAAGAATCGACTGGCTTTGGAAGTATATTGGAAAGACCCGCTTCTGCAGAGTCGTAAACGCCGATCTGGGAAGAGCTTGGTAAGAGACTTTCGTCATTACGAAAGTCTGGTATAGCTCGGTTCCGAGTAAGGTGGAGTAGGCTAGGAGGTGGACAGGCGGAAGAACAGCCGCGACATAGTCAGGAAAGGTAGACATGGCAACGCCAATTCGACTCAGAGGATAGATTTTAGTATGGATCGAGAGCCGCTCTGACATATCAATACCCATGTGGCATCAGCAAATCTTTGACTTTCGCTGCCGCCTAGCATGGCGGATCTGATCGGAAGTCGCATAGACGCTCGCATCCGTCCCGGCGAGGCTCTAATGCATATGTTTTCCGCGTCCCAAAGACCTGCCGCATCACCAGCTACAGCATACGAATCGAGTAGATAGAGTCGCGAACTGCTTTGTGGGCGTGTTCTGCTCATGACGGCATGATGCAGTTCGGGCTGCATTATCGCGAGGTACCTGACGATTAGCGCCGCACCCCGCAACTCCTTTACCACCCATCCCAACTCCCCGAAGATCTGCCACCACCACTCGCTTTCTGGCCATGCTTCCGCGCATCACGAGCGCATGTAGAGCTGCTTCAGGCAAAGTGAAGATGCAATATGGCACCCCAAATCTGGAAGATCTATGCCCTCCATTCCGCCGGCTCAATGGCTGAGCGCGGTATAGCTGTCGCTATCACTGCTAACGACGTACATATGTACTGGATGAAGCTCACACTCTAGGATTCATAGTAGAATCTCATTCGACAATCGAACACCTCCAATATGCGCGCAACACTCCTCTCCCTCCTCCCTCTCGCTCTCGCAGCACCAGCCGTACTCCACCGACAAGCCACGAAACCCATATACTGGCTCCTGGCCGGCGACTCAACCACAGCCACCAACGGCGGCTGGGGCGACGCCTTCCTCTCCACCACCGTCGCGAGTGGCTCCTCAGGTCACAACTACGGGCACAGCGGCGCGACAACGCGATCCTTCCGTGCCGGCGGCGACTGGGCAAACGTGACCAGGAACATCGGGACGTACAAGGAAGACTACAGGGTCTACGTGACGATTCAGGTACTATACCACATGATCAGGGAGTGGGATGACATGACTAACACCCCACCAGTTCGGCCACAACGACCAAAAGCCCACCTCGGGTGTCTCCCTAGCAGATTACCGCAACAACCTCGCGACCTTCGCATCCGAAGTCGAACAAGCAGGCGCAACGCCCATTCTCCTCTCCCCCCTCACGCGTCGCACATTCAACACAACCACGAATCGCGTTATTGAGAACCTGTCGAACGAGACGGCCATCACACTCGATGTAGCCGAGGCCAACGACTTGCACGTCATAGATTTGAACAAAGCGTCAACAGCGTATGTGAATGCGATTGGACAAAAGGGCGCGGACACGTATAACTGGGGTGAGAATGGTACAACGGGGAATGATCGCACACATTTGAATCCGTGGGGTGAGGTGGTGTTTGCGCGCATGGTAAGTGATTTGTTGGTGGAGAAGTATGAAGAGGAGTTTGGGGAGTGGACAGTGGGCAATGAGACCTTGAGTGCGTTGATCAAGGATGGGAAGGTGGCTTAGGTGAGTGTTGGTAAGATGCTGGACAAAAAGGAAGAATTCGAACATGTTCAGTTCTGGTCAAGGGAATAACACCCAAACGTATAGTTTCAAAACTAGGCATCGCTACAAAGCCCGACGGTGCTCGTGCTATGGTTATCACTCATCCATACCCCTGCCCTTCATACCCACCACTGGCCCACTGCCTTCCCTGCGCCTCACTCTGACCCTGCACGTTGTTGATCGTGGTTGTACTTGAGTGCGGCGTATCCCAAGGTGCATACTGGCTACTTGTATTCGTATACTGACTGCTCGGCCTCGAAGCCGGAGATGAAGCTGCACTTGTACGCGAATAAGGCATGTATGGTTGCTGCGTTGGAGGCAGCTGTGGCGATGTATACGGCAAGTACTGTTGGTGAGGGGGCTGCGGTGCTTGCGATGGACCTGGATACAACCACGGTTGTGCCTGGCTGAACTGCTGTGATTGCCGGTGTGGCAGTGGTGGAGGGTATGACTGGTTCACAGCACCAGGGTTATTGCCCTGTGGTGCAATGGGAGGCGATCCATAATGTGGTGGAGACGCGACCTGCTGAACTTGAGCAGCGTAGTCGTGTTCGGATATTGATCGGTCTAGCGGTGGTGTGGGCTTTGAGTAGCTTGACTGCCGCTGCTGGTGGTATCGATTGACCGCTTCCAGATTTGCGACGGACTTGCGATTGACAGCCTTGCTGTTCCTCTTGAGTCCGTGGTCTGCACTCCCCTTCCTCAACGTCGTGCTGTCAGGCTGTGGCACGCTAGCTATCGATCCAATCGAGCTGTTCCTCTGTGATGGCAAGGAAGAGGCTGAGTCTTGTCGTTGCCGGTCATCGATTGACGATCGCATTCTTTCAGAAGATAATGACGGAGATTGGACTTTGCCCTGAGCGGGTATAGGGGGTGAATGGCCAGCGTGCAATGATACTGTAACCTCTGGAGCCGGTTGAGCATGTGGAACCGTTACAGCCTCTGTCCTTCCCGGTCTGAGGTGAAAAGGCAGACTCCAGGGCTCCTGAGAGCGCTGGCCATGTGGTGGTGCGACTTCCTTCTCATCGCTATGTATGTTGGATTCGCGAACCATTTGCGAGGGCAATGGTGGTACCGGGCGACGGCGATTTATCCCAACGCTGAGGCTTGGAGGAATCTCCTGATGCTTCACGGTCCTAAACCGCTTCACTGTTGGGTTGCGTTTGCAGCGATCCTGTGCCTCTCTCAACAGTTTTCGTATCTTGGCCTCTTCCGGCAACTCTTCTTCCAGTTCCACGTCGGTGACACTGCCTGCATCGGTCTGTCCGGCCACGGAGATGTCGTCACCTTCCCATTCGTCATCATCAGTCTCTTCCTCCTCTTCATCATCGGAATCTTCTTCCTCGTCCTCATCATCGTCATCATCCAGATCGGAATTTTCATCCTCTTCTTCTGATATATCAAGTGCTTCGGTTGCAGACCCTCGATTCGGATGTCGTGCGTAGACATTGGCGCCAGCCTTCAGTAAAACGTCGACACAAGCTGATTGACGATAAGCGCAAGCTTCGACGAACGCTTCATCCAAGAGGTGATCCGGAGGTTTCATCGCGAGAAACTTGTCCAGAATAGTCTTGTTACCTCGGATGGCAGCCGCGGAGATAGCACTTCGGTACATTCCGCCCTGAACCCGAAAGTCTGCTCCAGCATCAAGTAGCTTGACAACCACCTCCATGCGGTTGAAGTATGAGGCGGCTACGAGAGCGGTATGATATTTGCCATCGTGATGATTAATTAGTTCGATGGCTTGGTCGAGAAGTTCCTCAATGATGGCCATATCGGCTTTCATCGCTGCTGTTTGTAGGGCGTCACCATACTTCCCCCCCTTTGCATGTACATCGGCCCCATGTTCTATCAGCAACCGCATGATTTCCAAGTCGTTCCCGTAAGCTGCAGCAGCTACAGTGGAGCCAAGTATGCCTCCTAGCGCTGAAGCATTGGCACCGTTGTCGAGTAAGCGCTGCACGACAGGTACGACGCCAGACTGAGCGGCAGCCAGGATAGGGAAGCCATGTAGGCCACCACTAGCGTTCACATCGGCGTGATGTTTGATGAGAAGCTTTACAAGCTTGTCGAACCCGCCGGCAGCGGCTGCAGAGAGTGCACCGCCAAACTTTCCATTCGCTGGCCGGATGTTGACAGCCGCACCATGCTGTAACAGCTCTTTGACGATATCGAATGAGCCAGCAGCACAAGCGGCCTGTAGAGCCGAACCATACTCGCCGGATATGGGCTCCGTGATGCTAATGTCGGCACCGGCTTTCAGTAAGACTTGGACACTTTCCATATCCTCAGCCCATGCAGCAGCTTGTAGCGGCGTTCCATATGGCCCGCCAACAGCGTTAACATCCGCGCCAGCTTGGAGCAATACCTCGCAACAGTCCTCGTCGCCTTCGGCACTGTGTAGACATTAGTTTTTTCCAAGAAGAGTAAGGGGGGCGTGGACTTACGCTGCTGCGTGGAGTGCTGTACCGTACTTGTCGCTTGAAATGTGCACGTCGGCGTTATGAGA